TTTGAAAGAAAAAAATCAACGTTGCCAGATTATCAAGTTTTATAATCTATATCACAAAATTTTCGTATCATATTTCATTTACACACTTTCCTGGTTTTATTCTTTTGTAAATTTTTTTTTTAGTACAAAACCAATTCATCACGTCGTAAAAAAAAAACAATATGTACATACATTTATAAAAACAGAGAGCTGATTAAATGGAAACCGATTTACCACTTGTTTTTTTTTTTTTAATTATTAACTATTATTCTATGTCTTCTTGACAGCGGTCATATCAGCATTAATTTTTTAAATAAAATATTTTAAACTCAGTAGCAAAGTATGGTTTAATAAAAAAAAATAGGAATACAAAATAGATAATAAAAAAATTTAAATTTTACAATTTTATTACTAAAACAAGAACGAAAAAAAAAATGCAGTCATTTTGAATTATGGCATTTCTTAAAAACTACAAAGAACAGAAAAATCTCTAAAAAAAAAGGTATAATAAAAAAATTAAATCCATATATTAATCGCGTTTAATTTTACCAATATTTATGTTTGGGACTATTACAGAGATTATTAAACAATAAATATTTAACCTAAGCACGTGAAACAAGACATAGACCAGAGTTGTCGAGAGTAAGGAAGGCCTTTGGCCGGTTATAGCCCATATGAAAGTCATTTCAGTTTGAACAAGGAGCACTAAAATCAGAATATTCAATTCATGTGTAAAATAAGTACTTCTCTAAGATTCAAGTAAGGCTGTTTCACAAACACATATATATAAATAAGACACAGACATGAACAGGTGCTTGAAAATAATATGTGGCCAGAATAATAACTAACAATGAACTATATCCGTAACACGGAGGAGGCCAAATTAATTGGAAAATGCTGATCAGAAATAAAGTGTCTAAATGCCCAAAACAAAGTACGTTTCAAAGGATTTGTTTACCGAGAACGAACAAAAGAGAAAAATAAAGTGTGTTTATAAATATGAGAATTTTAATAGAACATAATTTTAACACTTAAGATCTTATAAAGAAATCACAAACGAATTTCCACATTAGGCTTCATCAACAATCATTTATTTATTAAACAAAAATTGTGTTTCTGTTATTAAATTGAATGGATCTCCGACGTGCAAATCACAGTGATACTGACACAATAACTCCTACAGTAATTCGATTATATCAAATATGCAGGATTTAAGTGCCAAATCCCAATAATGATAAAGTTTGAGAGAAAATTTCATAATAAAAGAAAATATTTGTATTCCAGTCTTAAAATTAAAATTATTCACGAACAAAATTAAAATATTGACAACAATTTCAGGAAATACAAGCAAATATTAATATTAAATTCAATTAGAATTTTACAATTACTGCACTTTTTCGTAGAATATTACGAATATGAAACTCTTACCCTGATTAATTGTTTAAATTTTTCATAATTCTTTAAATGTGTAGGTATTCCATGTAAATTATTTAATTTTAAAACTTTTCTTACTTGCACAAATTTTAATTCTCTTTAATAATATGTATATGATTAAAGAAATAAAATTTGATCAAAATTTCAGAAAATCACAAAACTCACACTCATTTTAAATTATTTTAAATAATTTATTTAAAAATTACTCACATTTTAATATTTTTTTTATTATTTTTATTAAAAACATTTAAATCTTTTTCTCTTAATTTTTAACATTTTTCCAAACATAATTTTGTATTCTTTCTCAATCAAATAAATAAACGTTCTCTTCTCGCTCGCGTTTTTCTTTAACAAATTTAATTAATTATTTTTTTTTTATTAAAAAATTAACAATTTGATTTTTATTTTAAAAACTATTTCATAAACGTGTTGTTCACTTTAAATATAAAGAAAAATTCAAACGTAGTTCGTAATAACAATAATTATTGTATATTTTATTAAACCACATTCTCTTATCTCTTTTGACTGACTGACTGACTGACTATGACTATGACTGTATATGACCAGACAGACCACAAAGTTTAGTTTTTTTTTTTGTTACAAAAACAAAATACCTATGTATATGTATAACTAATATCGTTATTATTATTGTTATTATTTAAAAACGAAATAATCATAATAACATAATAAAAAAAAAAAATAAATAAATAAGAAATAAACGAATGAACGAAAGAACGAATTAAGCGAAATCTAAACCGCGGTTTACACTTGTTTTTTATACATGTATGAATTGTATATGTTAAAGATTATAATAATTGAGTTGCCGTTATGTAAATTAGGTTAGATAACCTAAAAGTAATAGAGGGCTAAATTTTATATTAAATTTGAAAACATTCTACTACATATTATAGCTAGCTTAAAAATTTTTAATGGCTTCATTGAATTCGAAATGCCAAAATTATGTAATTTAAGCGAAAAATTTAAAAAGGAAAAATATTCAGATATTAAAAAAAATTTATATTCGCTTATACATCACAGATTGTTAAGAAATATACGTTTGGGAAAATGTTTCCACTCTAAATTTATTTTCTAAATAATGGAACGACACTTTTTTTGTATTAACGAACGGGTTATCAAAACATTTCGCTGACGATCGGCGAAGTCAGTCAGCATCAAGTAATTGTAAGAATTGTGGGTGAAGATTTCTCATCGACGCCGAAATAAAATCTGTTAGTATAACAATGGATCAGATTCCAGTGGTCGTTCTGATGTGACATACGGCTTAGTGCAGTGAGGTTTTTTGTCGAAAAGTATTTAGCAAATGACAAGCAAACTAGATTCACCAAAACGGCAATCTTAAAAGAAAATAATTTAAATGAAATCATAAAAAAAAAACCATAAGAAAACAATTTGCATAGATCGGAAATTTTATTAGAGAAAACGCCTTTATAGCAACAGGTCTAAAATTCGCAGAAAATAGCTGCATAAATACTTGCAAAGAATATAAAGTCAAGTGGAACCAGCTGACAGAACTCGTCGCAATTTATTTTTAAAATGTTTATATTTCACTTGAAAAGTTAACTTGTCGATTTCTCGCACTCCCATCACACGACCACTTGAATACCACATTCCAAATGATGTGACAACGGACAAATGCCACGTTAGTGACGCGAAAATCAAAATAAGGCTTATTATTTATTCCTAGTTCTACGAAGAACGAAATATCTTTCATGAATGTTTGAATGTAAAATATAAATACGCACATAATTGATTTTCAACAATTGATTATTGAATAGTATGTCGCCATTGCAACTAATTAATAAAGTAAGGCGGTAAGTCTTTTTCATATATTATGTACTAAACGTATAGCATTTTGCTGATATTGTTGTGCATTAGTACAGTGGTGGTTACAATACTTTTTTTTTTGTTCTTTATTTCAGTAGTTAGTAAGAAAGAGAAATAACAATACAATTAACAAGAACAAAATATTAACAAAACATTAAAAAAACAAGAATAAAAAGTTAAAAAAAAAGAGGTAAAAGAAAAATAAAAACAAAACGCAAAATTAAAAAAAAAACCTTACACGAAACTTAAACACAAACAACATAAGAAAATTGGGGAACCTATCAATTCTTAAATCTTCAATTTTCCATTCTAAATCGAAGCTTCAACCTGTGTTCTGTGTTGTGTTGTAAATTCAAATCCAACAATAAAAGCAATAATAAGAATAAAAGAGAAAAAACTCGTCGTACTACAAAAGAAAAAGATGATATGCATGAATCATAATAAAAGCTTTGATTAGAAAAAGAAAAACAAAAAACAGAAAGTTTCGTTTTCTTTCTTTATTTTGTTTTTTTTTTGTTAGTTTTATCGTTTCATTAAAGATGGTGTCAGTTGTTTGGAATAAGCATTAAGTAGAATAAGGAAGAAAGAGACAGATATTAAAAATAATTTATCTATGTTCAAAATTTCTTTATTTTTTCACGTTTTTTTCCTTTATTAAGCGTTTACATGTGCTTACTTTCAATTTAATTAGGAAGAAATACAATAGAAAGAACCAAAATATTTATAAAAATAATGTCCATTTTAAATTCAGTTTTTAAGATGGTTTAAGATAATCGAGAAATCTTCAAATTTAAATAAATATATTCATGTATGTATGTATGTACATACATATATATGAGATATATGTACATGCTAATGAATAGATGTCAATCAAAGACAGGTTTAGTGTAATTTCTATAAATTCTATTATACATAAATAATTATAGTGTACAAGAAACCGCTTCAAAAAGTAGCCTTTTCTCTTTTTGTAGTCAATCCCTCTTAACACTCCGTAGTAGTTTTGGAAGGCGGAATAGCTTTAAAATTACTCTCAGCTGCGAGCCTCTTTTTTTTAATACTGACCATGCAGTACTTGCTCTGACTATCTTTTAATTATTGTATTTTCAAAGGAACTTTCGAATCTACTTATAACGACTCGAAACTTGTTTGTTTCTTGAGTTTTTTTATAAAAAATAGTAAAAAGTACAAATTAATTATAATAGAACAAATGTCAATATTCAAAAGAACAAAAAATTTATTGGTAATACTGCAAAATATTTACTGTCAAAATTTGCGTCATAAAATTTTTTTTCCAGTTTCATATTATAACCTCAATTATACTTATAGATTTTTTTTTTTTTCACTCCTAGAAGGAGCATAAGGCTAGTGCATGATATCATAGATAATCATACCCTAATTTCATTGCGTCATAGAGTTTTAAGTAGGTAGGTGATTAGCCTGCCGTAGTTACCTATATATACATAGATAATAAGTAAATCAGCTGCCACTGTCACTAAATTTTATCAGCTGTCACTATCATTAAATTTTATGACACCAGATTTTGGGTGCCACTTCATCTTTTTTAGTTCTATTACAGAGCAATTTTAATTAACATAATCTCTTGTAGTCATAAATGCAATCGCGAATTCAATCGCATGAAAGTTAAGTGTCATGTGTAAACATAAAATTTTTTAACATAAATTAATAAAAAAATTATAAAATTTTAATAACTAATATAAAATTATATTAAATAAATTTCTTACCTCATTTATAAGTATGTTCGAATTTTCTCATATCTCCAAAGGATATTCCAAAGTAAACCAGAAAAACTATACATTTTCTAAAAGAAAAACATAAAAATTAACATTAGAATTAAAAACTTGCGTTCATTGTAAAAAATTTAGTCAGTCTTAATATAAATAAAAATTAGTGAATTTTTTCACAAAATAATTTTTTTCTTCTTAATTTAATCTTGAATTTCCAAATGAAAAAAAATTTTTCACACACTGTATTCTAGACTCTATAATAAAGCAACCGAAAGTTGCAATACTGTTTTTTTTTAATAGATTTTCTCCAGCAGGTCAACGGAGACCGAATTACAAAAAAAAACAAAAAAATTGTCATTATTACATCAAAATGTCATTTCATACAAAATCTTTAAACATAAAATTAAAGATAATTAGGTTATGAGCTCATTTACCGATAAGTCCATTTTTAACAGAAATCCAATTTCGCTTATAATCTCTTTATATAAATTCAACATGTAAATCATAACCTTAATCAGTGAAATCAAAAATATAAATAACAAAAAAAAAAAAAAAAAAGAAATGAAATTTTCTGTAAAATTCGGACAAAGAACTTTAAAAACTCTCACCCTCTAACCAGGAAAAAAAAAACAATGTTTTGCTTTTCCTTTACCCTCTATTAAATTCAATTTTAATTTCTCTTCAGACACTTTTGTGTTTATATGGTTAACTCTATTCAGAGAATTCAATCACAAGTTGAATTAAAAATTTTTATATGGATTTTGTATGGATGAATATTTATAAAATCCTTTGTTAAAACCGGAACAAATTTTTAGAGAGGATGGGGCAACATTATATATGAGTATGATGACGACAACGAGAACGACGCCGCCGCGTAATGAAAGTAATTCACTTCACTAGAATTTTAACTTTTCTTCTCTGTTTTGTTATCAATTTCATTAATTTTAATTCCTTTTGCCTTCATTTCTTTTGAATCTGAATAACAAAACATTATTATTGTGTTATTATAGTTGATATAATAATGATGATTTCTGATGATGATTCCTATACCTATATATGTATCGTATACCTTTATCTACATTTTTATTTTAAAATTCTTTTCCTGCCTATATCTTTGATATTTTTGTCATCATAATTAAAAGTATCACTTTGTTACAAAATCAAAAAAGTGGGTAATCTTTTATTTCAATTACAACTAGTAGTAGACAGACATTGCCTTCAATATATATTACTTATATATATATATATACATATAAGCAATTGGATGTATGTTAAATAGGGTGCACAATTTTTAAATAAAATATTGCATTAAAATTATGGCTGTTTATAGGGGTAAATTGTCAAATGATATTATAATAAAGATAACAGAAAAAAAACAAAATAAATAAATTCTGAATACCGTAACAAAATCGATTTATTACACAGGGTGTTAAAGCATAATATTACATTAAATTCAATAAATTTTAAACAAAACAAAAGAGTAAAAAAAAACAAAAATAATAAATTCGATTAACTTATAGAGTTGCCGCCTAAAAAAATCATAAATTTTAATAGTAACAATAAATTTCAGTCGTAGCAGAACGTAGCAGCTCTTTCATTTTTTATGCTAAGTAAGTTTTTATTGCATTTGTAAAAATTATCACGCCTTCTTCCCTCTCCCTCTCTCCTCGACAGTTTCGCCTTTGTAATAAAAACAATAAAAAAATTATGTATAATATATGAAGATTTATTAAAGAAATATTGAAAACCTGTTTTGGAGAAGAACCGTTATGTTCAACATGGTGTAAGCCTTTTACACTACAGTAATAGTGACCGCTTATTGAACCCTTACAATTGAAGCTAATCTAATTGTTTTAAATATAAAGAGATTATTAATATTGTTGTCCTAATAAAAAGCACCCAGGTTTGACAAAGCGCATGTTGCAGCGTACGAAATATATATGTATAAGCACCAATATTGGAGGTTTACAAAATTTACCAATATTATTTTATAAATATTTTTGTATGTATATGGCAATGCCTTTCAATAATCTAAAAATCTATTATGTATTTTAAGTTAAAGAATGCATTTTGCAACTGTAGCATAAGTACTTCCATATATGTATATAATTTTTAAATGTTTGCTAATCATTAATAATTTTCTAAAAATAACCATATCCTTTACACATATGTATGAGAACTATTAATGTCGAAATAAGTTGTCAAATGAAAAAAAAAAATATAGTTTTTATTTTTGAAAAGGGTCGAAATGTCAAAAACATTAGAATTAGATATGAAAATAAGAAGAGTAAGAGAGGCGGTAACTGAACGAATATTAATGAATGTGGCAAATAATTTGCCCTTTTTTTTGTCTCTTTCCTTTTTTTTTTTTTATTGACAAATAATTTTATTTTTTTTTATATATACCTAAGAATATTTATATTTTTTGGTAGTTATTGTTTGACTTTTATTTTTGCCTTTGTTCTTGAGATTGTCATTGTACGAAAAAAAAAAATTTTGTTTAAATCGATTGTTAATTTCTAACCTCAAAAATTCTTATTTTAATTATTGTATTTTTTGAAATTCTATAACCAATACAATATCAAAAGTATAAACTATCGTAATGTTGTTTTATAAAAATATAAAACAAATATTGTATGGAATTTGAAAGGAATGTATAGATAAATTTGGGTATATGTTAAAGTATTTATTTAAAAATTAGGGATAAAATACAACATAATAATAATAAATTACAAATTCTCTCATGGATAATAAATTTTTGAATAAAAATTCAATAGAATAATGAATAGAATTCAGAATCCTTTATAATAAAAATAGGAAAAAAAAACTCTAAAATAATTTCGATTTTTCAAAGGTAGACAAAATCTTTTAAAAATCAGAAATGACATTTACTTAATACACCTTTGCCTGAGTTTAAGAATAAAGCCACATTATTTTATTTGTCAATAAATAATTCAATATCTCGAATTGATGGACGCATTCGAAAACACATAAAAATAACAATTAAAATCAATAATAATAAAAAAAAAAACAAGACTAAATTCAATTTTAATAAAAAGTTTTAAGAATTAATTATGTTTACAAAACACCAACACCAAATACAATATGTCAAATTTAAAATTACATTATGTACGCTCAAAAACTCAAAATTAAATGTCAAAAATGTGTGTTTTCGCCTAATTATAAAAATTATTTCTTATCAAAAGTTAATTCACCACAGTTCACCACAATTACTATGTTACGTAATGCTCACAATTTCGAACAATTTGATAATTATATAAGTACTTATTATATAATTTTTCTCATCTTTGAAAAACTATTTTTTTAAAAATATTTTTTATTACGAAATTTTTTATTTCAAATGGGGCTGAAGGAAAAAAATTTTCATCAGAAATTCTGGTATTTCAAATGGGGTTAAAGGAAATTTGTTATCAAGGAAAAAAATTTTCATCAGAAATTCTGGTATTTCAAATGGGGTTAAAGGAAATGTGTTATCAAATATTTAAATTACTGACTATACTTTCGGTTCCATATACACTTCCTGTCGTTTAATGATGATAACATATCATAAAGTACACAACAAAATTGGTGTTATCAGTAAGTTATATTGTTATTCGGAATCGGAAACTAAAAATTGCAATCAAATAAAATTTTCGGTAGTTTTATCAAAATTAGGTATCAGATGTATATATACATATACATATATGCATAAATTAATTCTTAATATACCAAATTCTTGAAATTGTTGAATAAACCTATTACGCATTAAAATTTGAATCGCCTATTGGACTGAAAATATTGCATAATAAATATTGCTACACAACTCAACATTAAGTACTAAAATTAATTTCAAAATAATCTTAAAAAAATATATGGAACAAAAATCTTAAAATTTATATACAATTTTTTTATGGTCATTATGGATTATTTTTTATTTATTTTTTGTACATGCATATTTTATTATTATTTAAAAAAAAAACAAAATTCAGCTGATTTTCTTAAGAAAATAAGAAATTTCTATATGATTCTATATTAAAAAAGAAAATTATTTACTTATTAATTTTTCTTTTCGAATTTTCTTTCTTAAGCATTATAGCAGCCGTAATTTTAAATCACATACGTTTATACGTTAAATATTTATATGTATGTACGTATAAATTTATTTAATTTCGTAAACAATAATTTTCCATGCAGAAAATTAAAAAAGTTTATTGTCTAGCAAAAATTAGTCTATAATCTCTCATGCTTTATTATTTTGATGTTCATAGTTCTATATTTAGAAATTTATCAATTTTGTTTTGTGTTACTTAATTATTAACATACACACTTGTGTATATATATATATATATATTAAAGTTGTATATACACAATAATATTATAATAAATATTAAAAAATTCGATAATCAAATTTCTAAAAATTTTTTTTTTTAAATATAAAATTTTCATTTCAAAATCTATTTTTATATTTTACTTCATATTGGTAAAAAAACTGATAATTGTGTAGAATAAAATTACTAAGTTTTTAATATAGTCAAGTTTACGAAAGCAGAAATAAGTAAAAAATTCACTTTAAAATAAATATTTGTATAATTAAAAAAGTGAAAAATACTAAACATTTGCAAAAAAATAAATAAACCTCAAAAAAAAAAAAACATTTGGAAAACATATAATTTTTTGTTTTAAGAAATTTAAAAAAAAATTTGTGAGTGCATACGGTTAAAAATAAATTATTTATGCAAGATTATCATACATTTTAAAAATAGACCTTCGCATTCGTTACACCTTCATTCAATCAAATTCAACCGAATTAATTTACATATATAAATTTTAAAATTACATTAAAAATTAAATAATACACATTGTACTCGTATGATCGGCAATTAATCTAAATAAATTATTGGACAATTAAAATCCCAATATTAGACAGCTGATTCAGTAAACGCAAAATATTGCTCAATTGAAAAAAAATACCTCTCAATTATACCTTGAGGACAGTAAAAATTCTCTTTATTTTCTTAAATTTTTTAAAAGAGAAACAAAGTACTCATATTATACGTAATTATTATGGTGAATT